AATAGCCTATATCACTGGCTACCTGTCAAACCCTGCTCCGCCTGGCACTGTCAGAAATATCTCCTTGATCAGCAGCTCACTCAGCCCCCCCCCTCTCTTTGTCGCATCCTAGCCTCGTAGGTAAAACTTTGCAAGGAAACGATGAAATATCGAATCAATAAGAAAAAGTGGTCTACAACACCCCCCCCCCCCGCTCGGAAGTGGCAAGTTGGTCCGGCTTGGTCGAGAAATCAGCTTCATTTATATAAATTAGCCAATTTGGAATCTGCTCTCTTCCTAATGGAAAGGGAATCAACTTGCTAGTTTAGGTACAGTGCATTCGTACTAGAGAGCATTACTTGATCCTGCAATACAGAAACGCTCACGACATAGTGACTGGTTTCATAACACATCTGTAGTAGAGAACAACTTGAGCAGAATATGTTCGTTCACTCGAAAGCGTATAGATCGAGTTTACTTTTAGTCGGTTCTTGGCATCAGTTATTCGTTTGATTGAGAAATAAATATAAATTATGCATGGAAAACCGTATAGCTACAGTGCCATTGTGCCAATCTCTCGCCCTGCACACGAAGAAGAATGCCTCGATTAGCATCTCAAAAAAGTCTCTGAAGGTAGCTTTTGTTAATAGAAAAACAGGTGTCATTCTGGAATTTCTTGCAGATATAAAAGCAGCCCCTTTTGCGCATTATGTATCGTTTGCTCTTCTTTCAACCGTTAAAACGATTGCTCCACATAGTCTCTTCGTTTTGCGAGATGCCCAGTAATGCCCAAGATTTCTTCTTCAAAAGCGCTACTCACATACAAAGGCAAGGAACGGTATCTCGAGAAAATTGCGCAGTTTACTGTGCGGAAGCCAGCAGAATTTGGCAACTATCTCTTATCAAAACTCTTGTTATTTCGAGATGCACGGATAAATTCCTTCGAACATTGCAAAAGGCACAAGTATCTTCAAGTCTCCCTTCCACAGGCACTCAGCTTACCCCCTAATAATCTACCCAGCCTAGCAACTTGATAGCAAAGAATTCTGTGCTCCAACCCACGACAACAAGCACGATCAACTACGTAGTTACTTACGGGCATCACTTAGCAGAATGAATGGCCGTGCAAGTTTTTTTGAGCTAAATCTATGTTTGCTTGCTTCAGATCTGTAGATGGCAGTATAGGTAGTGCTAACAACTCTACTCGCATAACTCAAAACAGTGCTCATGGCCAAATCGCTATCTGCTGATTTTGTTGTTCTTGCCATTCCAGCTGTGTATAAGTGAAGAATAATTTCAAATCCACATCGTCCACTCTCGCACAACCGATTTATCACATTTGATTGACTTATCAATAGCTTTCTTGTGCGTTACCAAATTCTCTGACACTTAAATCGCCTAATACCGTCCGCATACCGTTGCCACTTATTTTCCAGAATGAAATTGCTGATCCTTCTATGTGCTCTTCTGGCCATTGCTGGTAAGCTTTACAGATCTACAGCAGACGTAAACCAATCCCTCGTTTGGGATCTTACTAGAAAAAGTGTGCCAATATGCATATGTTGCGTTTCAAATGAAACTTTTACTGTGAAGATTCTCTCGCCAAGCTCAAGTTTTGAGTAAATCTCCATATTAACTTGCAAATGGCGAAGTCCGACAGCGCAAACAGTACATATCGAAACAGGAAATTTCGAAGTCTGAACTGTGGTGCTTGCAGGAACGGAAGAAATCAAATGCGATGCAGACAACAAGTGTCCGCAAAAGTACGTGTGCTATGAAGGAACTTGTGCTTGTGAGTGGTATTCTTCCGCGTATTGGACGAATGTTCATAGATTTATCCATATACTTTGTTTAAGATCGATGCCCTATATATGAGCCAGAAAATATTCCCGCCGGGTGCGAAGTGAGAATGTACACGGACAGAAAAGGATGCGAACGTCCAAAAATCATTTGCTGATAAATAAAATTCTTACCCATTGTGACTATGTACGACAGTAAAATTTTGTAAATTGATAGACGAAATGACATACAAAGAAGACAGTGCTTCGTCGTCTACAAATAACACTTTTCTACTCAAAGATGTTTGCCATATTTTTCTGAATTGGGCCTATCAAACAAGTGCTTCTGCAGAGCGAGAAAATCAAAATTTTTAGTACTCACAATCTATTACGTAGCTAAACATACTGTGAATATCCTACAACACTTTGATGCATATAATGTAGAAGGGTCTTTGCGCTATCACATCGTTGCCAGAAGCTATTCTCGAAAACGCTGGATAAAAATTGCGAATATTGCCTGCGTGTCAGTGGACATTTGTCTTTGAAATAATGAAAGCTATAGGAGCGCAGCTATACTGAGTTTTAGGCTATATCCTTTCCGTTGGTCTTCCATAGAAACATCTACTTGATTTCGATCGATAGAGCAATTTCAAAAACTTTTTAGATCATGATTTTTCGCTCCAACAATCGCATCCAAATTTCCAGGATGTCAGTCCAATCCCGCGAATCCCGACAATCCCAGAATTTTGGACAAATTCTACCGCTGGAACTGTAGCTGAACTTGTATAGGCATAATCTGCCGATGATATGAGGCCAATTAGTTCGAATTTAGCAAACAAAAAAGCAAGAAAATTTCGCATTGTCCATTCCGAACCTCTGCGAACTGTGCAGCATATTCGTAATATTAAATCATTCTTAGCTTCCTCAGGGAACTTCCTTTGCATGGATCGAAATCATCAATAAAAATTTGCTTACTTTTCAAATTAAATGTGATTTCAGATAGATATAACATAACACTATTCCTTCTAAGACTCTCTTCAACAGTTTCAAACAGTAACTTAGAATAAATTTGGTGATTTTAACTACCCAAAATACCCAAGTTTTCTAAATTCATAACTTCCTTCAGAAGATCTTTTCGCAGGCATCGAGCAATGAATTTGGTGATTTTAACTACCCAAAATACCCAAACTTTCTACAAAAAATTCATAACTTCCTTCAGAAGATCTTTTTGCAGATTTCGAGCATAGATATAGAATCATATGCATCTTACGGTATACACCTCATTCCAAATGGCAATGGTCACCGAGTATTCTTCCCTTGTTTCCCCTTACGTCGTAACCTAACATAATAGAAAATTCTCACAACAGTTGGTACTTCACCTCAACAAACTTGAAAGGCAAGCGGACTTTTTAGAATGGTTGAAATAGACCATGAACTCTCATAAGCACATTTCGTATTAGTGGGCACCTTGCATACCTTGCACTATGCATCGATTCACAAATTTGGGGCGTCCAAGCAAAAAATTGTGAACAAGGTTTTCGCGGAATGAATCTAGAGCAATGCACTTGCAACTTCCGTAATTAACGTAGGTCGTGGCCGACTGCAAATTGTTGACATTTTCTTTCTTTCGCATGTGCAGGAACTTAGCCGCATTTTTCCTTCACGTCCCAAAAATATTGTTGTAAAAACTCGAGTCTTCTTTACATCAACATGAATAGAGATGACATAGAATCTGTCGTCAAATAGTACCGCTTCTGTCGTGATTAACTCTTACAGATTTTATAATCTGCTGACATCAAAATATACTCATTATACATCTTCGTGAACGAATAAATCGACATTTTTTGTTTTCTCAGGTGTCAGTCAAAAAGGAGGACGTGAAATAGGGGTTTTGACTGCAACTTTAAGGGGATGCTGTATCTACCACAATTACATAGAAATTTCTTGTAAGATCAGAACGAATATCACAGAAGTTTGGTATAACTTCAAAGATCTTTCTCTTTTAATTTCCATGCTACTTTGTTCCAGTAAAGGTGTCGTTTGACTTCGGCGAACTAGAAAAAGATAGGCGATACTTCTTATAAACGTCCTAAGGCAGTTTTTTAAGCAAATATACTTACTAAAAATGAGAGACAAGTCGGTTTGAATAACGCTCTTCACGTTTGTGTTGCTTCTACGGATGTTACAGGTATATTCATCCTGGAGACCTGCTTTCTCCCAAAAATCGTCCAAAAAGCGCCCCCTACAAGTACCCAAACATTGAAACCCAGATAACTATATATCTATTAAAAGAGAATGAGAAAACTCCGATAATCTTCTTCCAGTAGCTGTAGTTTATCTACAGAAGTCAAAATTTTTCAAGCCTTATCTGTCAATTTAATTTTAGACACGTAAATTCAAACGTGCTCTGCGTAGCATGTGCAGACTGAAACTCAACAGAAATTTCTATCAAACCAAACGTTTTAGGATTCAATCTAGTACTTAGTGGCTTACCTTACAAAACATTTGTTTTGGAATGTGGAAGACTCCAAGATCTCAAGTCGGTACCCCCTGAATTTTGTTCAGAAGGGTTGCATTTGAAACCGTGACAGAAATTGTGTTTAAAATCGAAAGTAGCCTGCTGGAACTTACATCGGGTTCAAGTTTTTTAAAGTTTACGGAACTTCTGCGAACAATGAAACTGGCTGGTATCAGCATTCCAATCTTTGGCAATGTTCCATCTTTCCCTTTTCGAAACTCATGTAGTTGCTAGTTTTTTAATACAACAGTGTTGAAGGGTGTGTTTTATAGGTTCTGATGATAGTAGTTGCACAGAAGACGAAAGAACAAGAAGATCACTTGACACTTTTCCAATGTCAAAGGAATGGTTTCAACTGATGCCACTTCTTCATATAAGCAATCTCACTATCTTTTCCAAATTTTTAGAGCTTCTTCAGCTTTCTTCCCTTATTCATTTTGCAGGACATTTGATGCTTGAGGACAAATTACGCACTGCATGATGTCGTGAATGACAAAAAATTTGAGTAGTAAGGTAAAAATAGGTGCCTCTATTTCTTTACATAGCATTCTGGGGCCGAATACCCAACACCGAAACGAAATTCTAAGTGCATAGAAAAATTATTTTTGTTGGAAAACGAGCGGCGAAAATGGGAGCAAGCTTCTTGAACGTGGCCTACATGACGTGAGATTTACGTGAGTGACTTGTTTTTCTTTTAGCACGACTTTATAAATTTTTCATAAAAATCTCTTGGAGAGCGCGACTAACTCTACGCTTTCTTGTGTAGCAACTTTCCTGCTCTCCTTACCCCTTCCCTATCTGTTCCTGTGAAGAATTTCCGTGACCGACGCTCCTATGTGTATATTCACTTCAAAAAATGCTAAATATGTTTGTTTTAGTATTTTCGCAACTTGAAAAAATTCCATCCATAAGTTCCTTCTTATCAGAGGTTCCAGCCTTTGCAGAATTCTGATTATGAGAAGTTATTGGATTGTACACATTGAAAGAATTTTTGGTTAGCGTTCACTCGTATAAACCAAGATGTCTCTCTTTCGATACTCTCCTATTACACAGTTTTTTAGCAGTGGAAGTTTTTAGAGATATTGAGTTAGGTTGACTGAAGTTCATTCTGGAATGAAAATTTCCATAAAAACTTTTCTTGTTATTTTGAGTCCTTGGGCAATTGAGATGAGGTTTTTCAAAGATTCCAAGATTACGTGACAACTACATGGAACTTTCTACTATCCTCAAAAGTCCAGAAGCTCACAAGGGAAGCGTGTTTAGTCGAAGTGGCCTTTTCAGATGAGAACCATACTGCTTTGAAGAGTATTGCACGATGATTCCAAATCTGTCTTCTAAATCTACTAGGCGCCTCTGGACGCCGAGTTATGGGCGTTTTTCAGGTCAAAAAATCAAACGCAAAACTGAACCAAAATCGCCCAGATTTACTTAAATGGTTCAATGTCAAGTAGCAGAGCAGTTTATGCAATGGATACATTTTGTCTATTATGCTAATACTCAACATTGCTTTATCTGGGCGCTGGAAAGATTGTAATAATCAATTTTGCTCAAATTCTGCATTCATATTTCGTTCCAAAAAACGGTCATAACTCGGCGTCCAGAGGCGCCTAGCAGATTTAGAAGACGGATTTGGAATCACCGTACAATACTCTTCAAAGCAGTATGGTTCTCATCCGAAAAGGCCCCTTCGACTAAACACGCTTCCCTTGTCAGTTCCCTGACTTTAGTTTCGTTTGCATGCTGTGATGGCAAATAACGTTTTAATTGTGATCTGCCGTTTAGAAATTCTTCGATATAAAAAAAGAAATTTCCTCATTTTGCGCACAATGGCAATTAGGTACCTCGCTAGTTTGCGCCTTTCCTATATATGAAAATGAATTATATCCAACGGAGTTTACACCAGTATTCATTGAAGTTTTTCAAGAAAGCCGAGCACTGGGCAAAAACTCGTGCAGCATTTGTAACAGGCTCAAAACTGCCCGAAATTGTTTATTAGCCGAATAATTCTTAGCTGACTCATTGTCAGAGCAATTCACTTTGTGGTAATAGTCAAGGATAACTAAAGTAGTTATATGTAGTTACGCTCCATAGCTTACTCGCAAGCAGGGCACGAAGTGAATAACTAAAATTGAAGTTCCCTTGACTTGGATTTTTACGGAGTCCTCTTTGACTTTGAAACCTATACGTAAAAAACCCTTAAAAAACGAAACATCGACCAAAAAACCTCACAATTTTTTCGTCTTTTTGGCCTTAAAAACGATAGTTCCTTTGCTTTTGTCCCAAAAACGATATCCAACTATGTATCTAGCTTACAAGCCACTTGTGCCGAGCCTTGCTCGTAAATCTTCAGTGTAATTACTTACACGCATACTTGTGCGGGTACACCAAGAAACTGGATAGCGAAAGAGGTTTCGCAGCATTCTCAAGTGGTAAAATTAGCTTTTCAGCTCGTAGATGAACGAACAACGAGCTTGAAGCTCAAGGCACCCTCTAAACCCTTTAAAGTCTAATGTTGACCAGAATGTAAGTACAGATTGCTGTCGAATTTCCGCCTGTTTTCTGGTATCAACGGTGTTTGCTGTACATATAGTGGCGACCATACTTGTGCGTTGAAAAATGGTTGTGGAGGGGGGGGGGGAGGGAAAATAAGTATTTGTTTTTTCTTAAGGCGTTAGTTTTC